GCTGCCATGCGACTTCCCCTTCTGATGTCACAAGGGGAATTTCTGTATGCAAATAAGAAGCTAATGAGGAGCCTCGTTTTAAAATACACAAAAATAAAGTTGCCGTAGATTGAGTTTAAAACACATTTTTCCACTTAAAAAAATAATTCATGCTTAGAAACATAACAAAATAATAATATTTATGTATCAATGGATAATGTTAGGCGTGAAAATAGCAGCCATTTCGCAGGCACTTTAATGACATTCTCAATTTGACTAAATTTGTCAAAACAGATATTTTTATGGGAGGGGGTCAATAGTGTGGTTTATGTAGGTGGTAAATTAAAAATTTGGTAGTCAAACATTTCAATTAATCATGGAATGACAATTTTGTTGCGAATTAGAGCTTGTGCATTCTGTAGTTTCAGCAATTTGAGCTGGCCAAATTACCGGTATACGTTGCTGTTTATGTAATATAAAACTTGTGCTTGTATTTGGACAAAATTGTGACCAACCAGCAGATCTATATTACCTTCATATTCATTTCATTATAGAATTTTTAGAAAGTTTTGAAGAAACAAAATCAGCAGAAATGGTAAGTGTACCTTTTTTTTTCGTGTGTGCTACATTCAGTGTAGTTTTTGTTCAACCTGTCACATACTTCCACATTTGTGTCACACATTTATCTTATTTTTTTCACTAATATTGCATATTGTCATCCTGCGTTTTTTTTTCCAAACCATGCTGGGTAACAAAAAGGCTGTTGAGTAATCTTGATTAGGTCATTTAGAGAAATGATCTCACAATGCAACAGCAATTAGACAGTGATGTCTGTGTTTTCCCACTGTGGTGGCTAAAATGTTTGATGTAAATATGCCGAGTCATTGCAAAGCTACTTACAAAGATTACATCTGATTGGCTACCCAACCCTAACACCTAAATCTTAAACCAATCAGAGAGCAGCTTGTTTGTTGACTGTTTTTCTGGACATATCAACTTTGATCTTGTGTACATGCTTTGACTCAACTGAATCTGTGTTAAAAAGAAGACGAAAAAACTATGTATGTGACCAGAATGTGATCAATATGCAACAGCAATGCAATCAATGCAAAATCCTAATGCAATCAGTGTCAATCAGAGTTGTGTTTACTCGTTATGTTAAATTTCTGTAAAATTAATATAATTTGTTGTCTCTTCTTGAAAATAGGAACGAAAGACAGCTATCGAAGGGAATATACTAGCTTTGTTAGAACACACCAGCAGAGTAAGTTTGGATGATGTGTTTCATGACTTATATATGTTATTTTCTCTTTTGTCTCAGTTGTTGTCATCTGCCTTTTTGATACCTGAATAAGAAATGACAATTAAATTTATCACAGTGATTATTTGGTCAGGAAAATTGTGCAAGTTATTTTCTTGTTCAGTCACTTAAAAAGGCATGTGAAATTTCAGTTTGGAGGCGGTTGCTCAAAGAAGACAATATTGACAAATTAAAAGACTAGCCTTTTTCATTGAAACGTCAACCCTAAAATGTATCAGTTCCGTATTTGATATGGAAAATTTATTTACTTTCACTAACTGCATATTATTTTTAACTTGACACATTTTTTGATTGCAGAGTCTAGGTCGGACTAAACATATGCCAACTCCACAAGAACTAGCGAGGATGCAAGAGGATTTAAGTTTCAAAGAAAACGAAATGCAGAAATCACAAGCTACTGCTTCAGGTCTAGCAACAGGTATGATCTGATGTTATCATATAGGTTATTGCTCTATAATCAATACCTCTAGAGTATACATAAACACAAACGGCAAACACATGGCGACAAACTTCTAAGGAATACAGGGATTGTTTCTCTACAAAGTTGAGTCAGTACATCAGTTTCCAAACATGTGTATCATTCTTTTCCAAGTAGTTTACGCAATGACCCTTTTCTGAAAACACGCTATATTTACAACAGATACATTTATATATTCCATGAATAATTCTCTTAAGTAGACATTAGTAGACACAAGTAATTAATGCTAGAGTTTTGTATTAATCTGAGCTGTATTTGAGGATTGATGCTACTCTATTGGTAATCATGAATGTCTGCTTAGGTCTCACAAAAAAAATTGTTGTCAAACTGTTTTCCAAAAATGGGGAGATGAGGCAATTGTTTTCTCGCTTAAATATTTTATGGCACACAAATTTTGCAGGTTTCATCACTCTGTAGACAGAGGGCGTTGTGCAGTTACCTCAGTCTATAACCCAGTGAATTTGAAGCCTAGTGAATATGCCTACTAGATCAAATCAACTAAAATTAAACCCAGTGAAAATTTCTCTTTTACAGTATTGTTGGATTATATATTTATCACTTGCATTTACCAATAAGAAGGAATGTTGCAGGGGAAATTTATAGACAAATATCAGTTTGTTTTGGTGCCTGCTGTAATCTCTTGTATGATTTTTCTTACAGAGAGTACACGATTACATATGGATCTACAGAAAGTAGAACAACTGGAAACCAAAATAAATGCTGAATTAGAAACGCTACGAGACAAAATCAAACAGATGAACGAGGAACTTAAGACATACAGTGATCTCGACTCTCTCAAAAAACAAGCTGATGACAAGAAAAAGGTAAGAACTATTTGAATAATGAGTAGTACATAATTCTCTGATGCCAAACGCATTAAATAGTATTAAAAATGTGGTATTATATTAGCTCAGGCAAGACAACAATAATATACTGTATTTTAACTGTATTACCACAAATAGTATTTAGTCTAACAACTTAATGATAACCTGTTAAATGTCACAAGTCAATATTGACCTGGAACTCCATAATAACCAGGTAGATAACAACTTAATGATGACCTGGTAAATGTTCCAACAATTCAATAATGGCACATTTACAAATAATAAAGACAGGCTTGTGTACATGTATAAACTACTCCAAATAAAAACAAAATTGTTTTCCCATGATTTTTCCAGAAATTACACGAGGATAAAATGAATTTGATGAAAAGAAGAGACACATTCAAGAAATGTAAGTTGATTTTGAGTTTGTGCAATTCTGCCTTCATTTCATTGGTCAAAAAATATGAGAAACATCTATTTTCTGTATGGACTGAATGAACATTGGCAGTAGTGTAGTTGTCTCTTAAAATATTATTCTAAAATATATTTGCAGTCCCCTCTTTTGACTCCCAGAAAGGGTGTATTTAAGTCTACTGTATTTGTAGTAGTTAAATCTGCCTTGTGATATCATCACTGCGATTTTTACCTCATTTTTTCATCAGAAATGATATCCCTGTTTACCTGCCAGGTGTTGGGTAGGTAGGGAAGGGTATGGTAAAATAAAACATACATACATATATTTTCTTATTGGGGGAGATGAATATCAAACTACGATGTCTGTAGTAAAATTAATCTGCCTTATGTTGTCAACACTAGGATTATCACACATGATATGATCCTTAAATTCTTACCTTCCTTTCAGATATCTTAAAGAAGGATATGTTATATTTATATTGCAATAGCTACACAAGTAGCCTCCCATGTGGTACATGCTGTTTTTAATTACACAGACTATAGCATTGTCATTCTTATACTTTGGGATTCACAATAAGGTTTAGAATGAATTATTGTTAAAGTTTAGAAACATAAATTACTAAGTTGGATTCCATCCGCCAGTGCATCTATGCCTCTAGACTCATGTCTCAGACATTTCAAACTTTTTATGTGTGATTGATTTTTTTTATGACTCGTGTTTTCTGACCATGACGAAAACTGTGTTTTGGATAATTGCCCATTGCCTCATTACCGTTTGGTGAAACGCATTATGTTCTCATGAAGTTCTGCAATGAAGATTATTGTAGTTAATGTGTAATTAATATCCCAGGATTCAGGGTCTGCTGATCAAAGTTGCCTACTAATGTGTCTGAGTGAATTTTTGATTGATATTGATTAAACAATAAAAAGTGGTCAATATCTTTCCACTCGATAAATATAAATGACTTACTACGATTTATTCTGTCCATTCCAAAAAGAAGTAAACTTTCACAAAATAATCAATATTGTTACCATGACATGTAGCCAATATAAAATTAAGTCCATTTGGTCCTAAATAAACAAATGAATTATTGAAAAATGCATATGCACATGCAAAATGTATTTTCTTTCATTTTTATGACATTTCAATGACCTTTCTTGTGGTGTTTTCACACTGACTATAAAGTACCCCCTCAGTGGCTGAGGTGTGAATTCATTTCTTTTTTATGGTTCGAAGTTGTGTCACTTTCAAACTTTCTTCTAGTGTTTTACTCTGTGTGTACTTTTCACAATTTTTGTCTGTGTGTATACACTGCCAAACATGTAAATGTGTGTGATTTTGTGGTAATTTGTTTTAGAACATTTTTAGGTGTGGAGTTACCTAGATTTAGCAGTACAGTGTATACACTGTTTCGAAAAACCTTTGCGAGTGGTGAAGTGTCAAAATGATGTAAGGGGGAGGGGGTTGTAGCAATGTCATAGTCAGCTCTGTTTGGGTGTGTAGTCTTTTCTCATTGTAGAATATAGTATATATCTCTCAAAAATCTTTATTATTCACATAACAAAGGAATATTGGAGCTGTAAACGCATTACACCTATTTATGTCACAGAAGCACTTTTGTTGCTAGAGGATGCGACTTGTGGAGAAAAATATTCAGATATTGTTATAAAATTGTACTTGAACATTCAACAGTAATGCAAACCTGACAGTGACAAGATGTTAGTAGTATTTTTTGGGTAAAAAGTGTTTGATGAACATTTTTAACATTACCAGTACATGTATACTAATAATTCAGTTACAATCTTTGTTGATAAAGACTGGTATTTTGTATTCTGTTCATTTAATCTTAGTTTTAAGCAATAGTTTGATGGTACATTTATCAACTGTAAGTGCCTGTTCTTACTTTTTACTTCACACAGTTAACAGCTGTGTGCCTCATTCCGACTATGAATCACTACATCATACATGTAGACTTGCATATAAAGTACGTTCTGTTCTTAAAATGATTGTAACCCATCAAAATGTGGCAAAGTCAATTGCTGAATAGTCAGTATATTATACTTGTATGTACATGTAGTGTTTCCTGTGTTTCAGGGCTTGAATTTGACGAATGTGCCTGGGTACACTTTGAAAAAAAAAAAATACCAAATTTGGGTGTGTCTATGGTGACAATTCTCATGACCATAATTGAATAAACAAATAAATTTAATTGTTGGCTTACATGCTCTTCTATCAGAGATGTGATTCTAATAGACCAAATACAGTATTCCTTATATCATACCTATATCATAAAGGCGATTTTATCAAATTTAACCTCTCCACTCTAAAAGATAATCTGATCACTATTTTGAGCACAATTTTCAATCAAAAAATGGCCACCAATATAGAAATAAAATTGACTTTAACCTCCAATTTTTATTCCCTTTTTTTTCTTGGAACTTTTAGTCATCAAAATAGCAATGTCAAAATATCAGTGGTTTAAAATTTACACATGTATTCTTGGGTAACTGTGTCCATAAACTCTGTGAGCACCATTATTTTTAACACTGCAATTTTAGTTCAACAATTTGCTCATTTTTGGTATTATTCTAGAATTTCTTTGTTAATTTTGGACTAAACAGCCATAATTTTATTTTTATAAATGCCTTGATAAAGAAAAGGGAAAATAATATTTGGTAGTCCATCAGTTACTTGAAGCCATGCAGACCATTGTGAATAATCAAAACTTGTTTTTTTTTTACTTTACCTATCCTTCCCTTTAGAATATACCGGGTATTGTGCAATGCATTTATTGCATAGAAATCAAAAAAAATACAACATTAATGGAATGACCATAGCTAATTTGCATTGAAATTAATAATTTTATTTTTCCCCCAAATAATGGGTAGGTATAATTACAGAAAACACAGTATTTATTTTATTAGGCCAATAGTACTTTTTTCTAAAGGAACATATATATATAGAATTGTTTCTATTAAACACATTGTGATTACTGTTCAGTTAAATTCAGTTACTTCTGTAAGATGTAGAATGATAAACTAAAAGTTTGGGGAAAAAAACTTGATATATTATCCTTCTGTACACCCATGCTGTGAAGGTAATATTAGGTTGCATATAATTGTGGTCTACGATCATTAAACCTTGTCCATAAAATATTTCCTAGCAGATTCTTCATCTAAATATTGACGTACTTAAAGCACCAATGTGGATTAGAGACTTGTTCAAAGATTCATTTCTGTTGATCTACCAGTCATTTGGGAACATAATAACAACAATTTGACCTTCATTACACTGTTTAAAGAACAAGTTCAATGCCGTTGTGTGTACAGAAGCATGTCAAAATAAATAGAGGCCTTCAATATATGATATTCTAAATATTGTTACAAGGATTGTATGATGGTTTAATGCATAGGGTGGATTGGGTGGGATTTATGTTTGTTAACATCATATAGTGTGTGAGCTGATTCTGAAATAATGATGTTTTCTCAGCGCCATGCAAGTAAATGACGGTGTATATACATGTGTATGTCAGTAAAACATACCAAAATATTCCAGTTATCTTACACTGTCTATGACCCGAATGGTTGCTCATACAGATTACAGTCAATCATTTGTACGTACCACAGGAGAGAAATTCCCATTGCACATAATAATGGTGAAATATAATTTCATTGAAAAGTTGGTCAATTCTCAATTTGTGAAGGTGAATTTGTAATATTGATGATATCAAGAATAATTTGTTTTATAACATACATGTAAAATATTTTTACTGTTAAAACTGGTGCAAAAAAGAAAGATAATAATAGCCCATAACAAAAATATGTTATGCTGCTATTTACATGTATTTAAATTTAAATTCAATTTGTGTTTCATTTTGTTCTACAATGAACATTTTTTTTTCATGTTTTTCTTAAATTCTGACATTTTTAACTGACATGCAGGAACAAATCGAATGCAGGAACAAAGCAAAATTAATCCTTTTCTAAAAAAATGTGCCTGCTAACAATTTGTTTTCAATTTCTTTATACTACGAACTTTGAAAGTCGGAATAAAATTTTGATTTGAATCTCCTAACCCCCGTGAACACTATAAATATTTATAATCACCCATTGGCTAACTGCATTTATATAAAAATATTGAGTCAATTATGCAGGTTTAGCATGTGATTGGTGACAAAAATTGATGTGGATGTTCAAAAGTTCAAAGGACAAAGAGTTAATGTGTTCACTTCATTGCACAATTATTTCCTTGTTCTAAAATACTTATAGCGGGCGGCATCAAGTTTGATGTGGGTCACATACGACATATACAAGGCTTTTGTAAAAAACACAAAATTTGAACTTGCATTGCACGACTGCATGACTATGCCACTTCAATTAAAGAATAAATTCTTGAAAAATTTCAAAGGTTTGAAATTGTTATCATCAAAATAGAAATTACTATGAGAAAATAATTGTGATTCTGTAACTACATTCAAAACTGGGAATGTAAATACTTGTTCTTATTTTGGTTGACCAATGTTTTCATAGTTGTTAATAGTGTTCGTCATGATTATGAAATATTACTGATTGTGAGGTATTACTGATTACAAGATATTAATGATTGCGAGATATTACGCATTGAGAGATATTACTAATTACGAGATATTACTGATTGCGAGATATTACTGATTACGAGATATTACTGATTGCGAGATATTACTGATAACGAGATATTACTAATTATGAGATATTACTAATTATGAGATATTACTGATTGCGAAATACTACTGACTAGAAAGATTACTTATTACGAGATATTACTGATTATGAGATATTACTGATTACGAGATATTACTGATTACGAGATATTACTGATTGCGAGATATTACTTATTGCGAGATTACTGATTGCGAGATATTACTGATTACGAGATATTACTAATTATGAGATATTACTGATTGCGAAATATTACTGATTATGAGATATTACTGATTATGAGATATTACTGATTGC